GCTAGCCCTGTGATGGGCCCCATCCTTTCTCAAAGCAGAGCAGCCACAAACTCCCCTGTGAAACCTCCAGGCAGGTGATTCCCAGCCTTTCTCCCAGCTAGGGCCTGAGTCTGAGGGAATATGCATTTGGCTTGGTCCCGGCCCAGGTAAGCCACTGGCCTCAGATGGCAAGGATCAGTGCAACCCTGACTTTTTGCAGCTTTGGATGAGACAAATACATGGGGAGCAGCGATCAGGTGAGGGCAATAATTTCCATTTCCTTTGTCATTCTTTGAGTCAAAGGCTGGGAGCTTTTCTCTGCAATGATGCTGCACAGCGATGCTGGGTTATATTACAGTGATTAATGGAGGATTTGATCACACCTTTGTGCCTGCTGCTGGCACTCCCACTTTGTATGCTCACACAAACAGAAAATGAAAAAAACAAGGTGCAAATTCACAAAGTTCCAGCCAGCTGTCATTACTAAATAGTCCCATCCCTGTTTCAATACACACCTGCTCCCACTGAGGCTGATGAGAGCTTGATGTTAACTCTGGTTAAAGGAGAACCAGACTTGTTTCTGAATTCAGGATTCATTCCAGGCTCATGTTTATTTGGGTATAAAACAGCAGCTTGTAAAAGCTTTTGAGTCTTCTTGTATGCTTCTAAACTTCCTTGTTAGGGGCCACAGGAGCTTCATTTAAGCTCAAGCCCTTGGTCATCGTCCGTGCCACATTGCAGCAATGCCTGACCTGGCCTCCCACCGCTCTATCCTGTCATCTTGAGCCTTTTCACTCTGTGCTGCAGTTAGAAGGCAAAATCGTTTTTAGTTACAAGGTAGATATATCAGGTTACTTCAGTTCTCCTTCCTGCATTCAAAAGCTTTTTCTCTCCTGTAACTCACCCTCTGCTGCCATCATGGGGCCATTTCATCAGGCATCCTTGCAACCTCTTCTATGCGCATCTGGATGTAGTGAGGCGTTCTCAGCAAATTGCATTCCCCAAGAGTCTGGGAGCACTGCAGCCCCGTGGAGGGTATTTGCAAAGACAGAGAAATCACATTAGTCATTTTTAAACTCCCTGTATGTTGCTTGGCTTTCTAATGAACTCTTTTTCCTCCCTGCCTTGCTCCTACAGGGCCTTTCTCATTGCAGATGTTTGCACTGGGGCAACACTAGGACCCCCAGCAGAAGCCTGTCACCTCTGTATTGATGGCATATATGAAGGAAGGCCTTTACAGATTTAAATGCTAAGAAAGAAATCCAGAGAATTGCAGACATCACCAACATCACTGGGGGCTCCCGAAGCTGGGCTGGGTGCTCAGAAGAGCTTTCAGCTGCAGTGGGAGAAGGGTGTGACTCAACCTGCACCTGGTTTTATAGAGGACAAAATGCATTGAATGAGGCCATATCAACCCAAAAAAAAGTGCACCAGAGAGTTGGTGAGGGAGCTGCAAGAGAAATGACTGTGCTAATACCACTGAAGAAAGCAGTTATAAGGGTGACATGTTACAGGACTCATCAGTGTAGGTTTTATTCTTCCAAGGAAAGGATGATGTGGAAATGCCAGGTCATTCCCCGTGCTCTAGTCATGGAGTCACCCTTTGCTCCCTCAAAGAAAAAAGATAAGTAGAGAAGAAAAAGTGCAATATCGCTCCTATTTCCCTATTGGAAGATAAGCAGATTTATTTATAATGATTAATCTTTCTGAGCTACTTTATACAAAATAAAGAAGCAGAGAAAGGGCATGATCCTATTTTCTCCCTCCCTTTGTACATCACCTTTAGTAGAAGTGCTAGAAAGCAGCCAGCTCCAAAGCCTGGTGAAGGCAGGGAGTATATTCAGTGTTCTTCTCATGCAGGTCTAAGTATGCTTCTTACTTTAAAGCTATGATTCAGTCTCTTCTCACCAGACCTTTCCCAGAGGTGGCCGTGAAACTGCAACTTGAAAAGCATTGTTTCCTCATGCAAAAGCTGCATCTCATCCTACTGATCAGTCAATGTTTGTCCTAAAGAAACCACATGTTGTTTCACCAAATAGGAGATACACACATACGCTCATTCAATCTTTCTGGTAACTGCAAACAAACCCCAAGCCAGAATTAAAAAAGAAGAACAGAAGATTAAACTCCTATCAAGAGGTAATTAGAGCCAGGAGGAGAGATAATGATGACAATCATAATGGATCAATCAATCCAGAGATGTTTGTCCAGCAAATTACTGTCATTATGCACACAAATAGGCATCGTTACATATCAGCACAAATATGGTCCGTTGAATTGCTGCGAATGACCTGCACAGGTTTACCGAGTAATTAAAAGGATATTTCAATCCGGATGCATTATCTGCTGTTAATCATAATTACTCATATTCCCATCTTTACCCAAGTAATTGCTCCTGATAAGGGCTGCAGATTTATAGGGGGCCATGGAAAGGAGTGGGCCAGTGGCTCATCATAGCTGTGAGACAGCCGAGAGCCCCGAGTGACCCCGACGTGGTGAGTACCGCTGTGCTGACACGATCAGCTTGAATGGGCAGTGTTCTCCCTAGATTCAAGGTCTGGGTGGTGGATTTCAGGCCTCCATTGTGCTCTGCCAAGCCATTACCAAGAGACAATCCGCGTTCTAAGCAGCAGTGCTGATGGTATGTGGGGTTTTCTCCCTCTAGAAAGAACCAGAGGGAAGAACAGAGCTGAAACACCAGGTAGACCAGATGTGTGTCCAGAAATACATAGTCTTTAGTTTTAGGTAGAGCCTCGCAGATGGGCAGGAGCAAGAAGGTGTGTTGGGCTGGCAACAGGAAGTTCTCCCAACAGCAGCGTTCCTTCAGAGTGACAGGAGAGTTGCTCTGGCAAAGGCCTTGGGTGCAAGCTGATGTTTTGGTAGTCAGATTTGTCCACTGGAAAGCACTGAGCTGCTCCCAGGTATTGGCCTGGCTCAGTGCATGCTTCTTTCAGCTAAAGGTCCCCAGCTAGCTAAGGGGCTTGCGTTTACTGAAAGCCAGCATCACTGAAGAAGGCAATAAAAGCTTGGAAGTTTCATAAGGAGGTTAAACAGCTCTACTGTGAAAATGCTGAAAATCTACCCCAGGATCTAACTGATGGGAAAAAAAAAAGGCAATACAAAGCAATCATTGTTGATATGTAAAGTCCCCCAAAAGCCACTATTTCCACCAACCAAATCTGATCTGCACAGGGAAGAGAAGATTATGTGCAGAAAGGGAAAGGATGAGTTGATCTGCTTGGTCAGTAGCTGGGAAGACCATCAGGAGAGAGGGGCAACGCTAGAGCTGGGGCTGGGATGTAAAATGGGATGTTAAATACAGTTTCTGAGGACAAATGGTCACAGTCACAGTGAAATCCTCTCGGACATAGGATGATTCCCCATGGCCATCTCCAAGGGGGAAGGTGGGTCTGCGGTGCTCCAAGAGGAACGTCAGCCTTGGCACAAGGAAAGCCAAAACGCTAGCTTGCGATCCTGGCCAGGGACCAAGACATTGTGTGGCAGGTTTTTTACAGACTGAGGGACAGGCTCAGTGTGCTGGTTTTACTTCTCTGAGGCTTGGCATGCTCTGCACTCAGGGGCTGATTTCATCTCTTCCACGTCCCTCGAACAAGAGGAAGCACTTTAGAGCCTGTTTTGTCCAGACTCCAATAAGGAACAGACCTCTGAAAGGTTCTTTTTCTTTTGTTTATGTAATTCTTCTCCAAGCCAAATCCTTCTCCAGGGCAGGAAGACTGACAACACCAAAAGCATCAGAAGGGGGATATGAGATGAAGCTTACAACTCCCTAACTATGAACTTCTCTGCAAAACCTCTCTCCTCTCAGCTCTGCAGCCCCCATTAAACAGCTGTGCCATGGCTTACAGTGAAGTCATTTATATATAAATTCCCCCACTCTTGTCATTCATCTGCTTCCTGCTCCTTGTCTTGCAGTATCTCTAGGGTAGAAAACAGTCCCTGAAGAGCTAGAAAGTGTTCAGTAAACTCTGACAGTCCTTTAATGCTCTTCAAACCGTCTGGTTTCAGACTAGAATAAAACCAAAGTGAGAGGACCCCGATTATGGGTTAGCGAGTGCACTATGGGGTTTCCAGGACGGTAACTAAGAAAGCAAGATTTGCTTCTTCACAAGCAGAGGACATGAGTATTATAAATTATAGGCACAACCCCTGTGTAACTCCTGGGGGAATGTGAGAACCCTCTTATAGGGCCACATACCCATTTCTGCAGGCATAGAGCTGCAAGTAGAACTTGGGAAATAAAGGGGAAAAATATGCAATGACTTGTGATAGGCAAAAAATTTTTTTTTTCCAGTAAGAGAATAAGAAGATATGAGATTTTGCGGTTACTTAAGCTGTGTGTGTTACTTCTTTTTTTTTCTTCTTGAAAATAAGATTTGCGGATAAATAGATACCAGTACATGCAAGAGCCCTGCCCTCCCACTGTGTGTGGATGAATTATTTTTTGGTACATGCCAAATTTCTTTTGCATGAAAATTTAGAAAAAAAAAGAACAGATTTCTCTTGGGCATCCTCTGGATATATTAATAACTGTCTGTGTGGGATGTTTTGATGGGTGGTTTAAATCTCCCTGAAGACTCAGCTCTCAGAGACTTACAGTGGAATGGGGTTTATTCCATGGTGCTGTGCTGGTCATGGATTAACTCACACGATACCTCCCTGCATATTCAAGGCATGTTATACTGATTCACAGCAATATTCCAGGACAAACACCATCTCTCATAGGCAACCTCAGGCCCATGCTCCGGGGCTGACGGTGTTGGGGGGGATAACAGCTACAAACAGCTTAAAACTTAATGGCAACATGACAGATTTGAATTGCTCATCTTTCATATTTTTAAAGAAATACAAGCTTTGCTGGCAGGAATTCCTGCCTAATTTAATTATAGTGGTGTTATTCCTATAGCCATGCCTTCTATGCAGCATATGAACTGCAGCTGGCAAAGAGCAAGGTCATTTATTTTACTGCTCATAAAACTGCACGCTTTAATTTAGGACACATCATGGTTTCCCTGATGACTGGTCTGTGGCAGCTATTTATTCCCGTGATTGTCCTGTTGCAATTCTCAGCGTCTCTTCCGTCCCGCGAAAGGTAAGCATTTCTTGTGCCTGTGCTTCCTTTCACTCCACGGCTTTCTGTTCAGAGTCCACTAGGTAGAAAGCTAGCTATAATCTCCCATCCAAAAGTTTTATCTTCCATCCAGGAGAAAAAAACAAGACTACCAGATGAAACTACAATAAAAAAAAGATACTCTTGAGTCTATTTTCCTGCTAGGTGCCTATACAGACTGGTAAAGGTGGATGTTTCTGTCTCAAACAGCCCAGTCCTGCAAAAAGGTATCAGAGAATAGGCAACCTTGTTAATCCACCAGTTCACAACTTTGAATGTAACTCTGAAGCAGGATCCATCTCTCTTCCCACTTGTGCAGGAGCAATTAAAGCATAGAGAGACTAAAGGAGTTAAGCAGGAGGAGGACAGAGCTGAGACTCCTTTGCAGCCCTCCCACTGCTGCAATCAGTGCCTGGACCAGCTCCCCTCACCCCATTCCCTGTGCAGACCTACACACACACACAAAAAGGGATCTCTTGAGTAGCTGGTCCAGATCAATAGCTGGATCCCAGACCTTTTATCCCTCAGGCTAGTCTGGCTTGAAGTTTGCTAGCTCTGGTTGAACCTCACTGAGGTTTTGAGCCCTCCTTTCAACGGCCACTGGAGAGTGCTGCTCTTCGGTACCTTCACCATTAACTACCTGTTCCTCAGGGTTTATGGATCTGTGGGTGTCTTCTCCTGTCTCTTGTCCTAGCTTTTATGCTGTTAACCAGACATCCTAACATATCCATACCCCTACGGTAAAGTAATGACTTTAGTAAGAGGAGACTCAGATGATTCTGCTGTATGATGGCTAAGCATCTGCAGGATTTGCTATTCTGTGAAACTTTGCCATGTTGACTCAGTTCTTGCCAATCCTTGCTTAGGACCCTCCTCCCTGAGGGAGAAGTTTTAAATGCCCAACCATTTTTCCTCTTCTAACCTCCCAGGACCGAGAGACATGCGGATGGGCTCTTCCACAGTGAGCTCAGGAAGATGAATGGCAATGCCTATGTGCAGCAGCTAGTCAGACACCTAGTGGGCCTCAAGGAGAGGTAAGGAGGAGCTGAAACCACTCTCCCAGCGCAGGGACACCTCCAACAAGATATGGGACTTCAGCCAAGGAGGATGCCCATGGGGCTGAGCTGCTTCCAGCCACAGCACTAGCCTCATCCAGAGGATGTCCAAGATTAGAGGAGACAGCAGGGGAGGGATACCAGAGCCTCAGGATATGTCTCACATTTCGGGGCTGGGGGGAGCATTATATGGTCTTATGACCCCTTATTTTCCCCACTGCAGGTCCCAGAGGCACTCAGATGGGCTGTTTACCAGTGAATACAGCAAGATGAGAGGAAAGGCTCAAGTTCAGAAGTTCATCCAAAATCTTATGGGCCGCAAGCGCAGGTAAAACCTCTGCCTCCTGGGAAATGGAAAAGTGACTTGGAGCCATTCAGCCTTCCTTCACCCTCGAGGAAGCCCCGACACAGGCTGCAGGGAGACAGGTCTCATCTGCAGAGAAAGAGGGTGGCATGGCCAGTGGTTTGGGAAACTCGAGGCAAGAGCAAGAGGCCTGGGGCTTGGTCTCCTCCTGCCAGCCTGTGCCTTGAGCTGCTGTGCAATAGCAGAGATGTCCCACCAGCCTGCCCTGCCCGTTACAGTAGGACACAGACCTTCTCACTGAGGCTACTTCTCAGCATAAGGCAACATTTTCTATTGCATGCAGGGATACTGAGTCTTATGTGCAGGAGATGTAACTTCAGAGCATAGGCTGGGTTTTTTTGGAGGCATTTTGGTTTAATTTTTTTCAGGGAAAGTTGCAAGTGACTTACCCATTTCAAATAAAGTATTCAGGAAAAGTGGAGCTGCAGTGGAATGCGAAAGAGCTCTGAGTTTCATAGTCCCCAACCACGGTTTTTGTATGCTTTAGACAAAATTATATATGTGGCAAACTGGATCTTTCAACCAGTCAAAGAACAGGATGACTAGCTCCCGCAGAAGTCACATATGCAAGCACGGCATCAGTTGTATTATGTGGCACTGATTATGATATTATTATCCCCATCTGTCCTTGCTACTGGTCTGTTATGAAGGAAGAACATTGCCTGGAAAGGTCTCCTTCAAGCTTGGTCTTTTCTTCAAGGCAGAGACATAGCACATTTCTTTCTTCCCATCTTTGTAGGGTGCTTTGATATTTTCTGGGACATGCACCACTAAGGAAATCCTGGCAGATGCAGTAGATTTTTAATTTCCAGATGCCGGAAGAAGGGATAGATCCATGGGCTGAAGGGCATGTCCATACTGGGTAACGAGGCAGCTTGCAAGTGCATATTAAAATCTGTCCCTTTGTCATGAGCTAAGTGGGAAGGAAGAACATTTCAAAATTCTGTCAATATTCACAGCAGGTCAAAAGCCAGCAGTTTCCCTCAAACTCCTGGAGAATGTGGAGATTTCTTGGAGTTTGGCTCTTTAGAATAAATCAGGCTGATGGTTTCTAGAGGAGCTTGAGCTGAGCCAGTGAGGGAGGGGGGGGTCCATGACTGATCTTACACAAGCTGTCACAAGTTGTTTGGGGGGATGCAAAGAAAAAAGGCACTTAAAGAGCATCTGAACCTGATTTGAAGAGGATACTTGTTTCTCTTCCAGCAGAGCTGAGGTGACAGCTGGTAAGTTAACAGAGCGTGGCTGTATGACCACAGGGCAGGCTGTTGGTGGGTGAATCTGCCTTCTAAAGAATGGTGCTGCTTTACAGATGTGGTGGTTATACTCTTTGTTTTGTTTTGTTTTTGTTTTTTTTTCCTTGTCTAAATCAGCCCTCCAGGCCCAGGCAATGCAGATGTGCTGGGGAGAGAGGAGAAAAGCAGCCATGAGGATCTTTGCTTTATGTGGCTATACCAGAGCTTTCTGAACGCCAGGTAGGTGGGACAGACTTCTCACCTTGGTGCCTCTACAGCCCTGAATGCAACAGCGTTGAAGCTGTCCTTGAAGAACGACTTTTAGTAACTTGTAAATGCCCAGTTTTTGCCCCAAATGCAGAAGCCTGATGTAATGCAGCACTTCAGGTGCCTGTGAGTCCCTGGGCCACAGCTGTGGGCATCAGAAGGGCTCAGCTGGCGTTCGCAAAAATATCCGCCCTGCTGAGTGGAGGGGCAAGGTGGAAGATTTAGAAAACAGTGCATGTTTTAAAATCCCTTCTGCCTCTTCCTCCCCCATCACCTGGGGAGGTGCCATGTCGGGGAGTGTCCTTCCTGAAACGTGGCTATCCATCAGGCAGTTTTTTTTTTAACCTCCTGATGCTCTGCCAACAACTGCACGCCCAGGCTTGCACAGCTAGCAAAGAAAATGCTGTAGTCTTACTGCAAGGTGGCATGTGGCTCAATCTCAATATTTTGATTTCCATGCCAGTAATCTCTACTCCTGTGTGCCAAACACACCTGGCATTCACTTTTGCTTTCTCTAAAGAGAAGCTGACATTAAGATTTGCAGGTAAGAAGCACCATATAAAAGCTAATTATTAAAAATAATATAACCCAGGGAGGTGAAATAAGATCTTTTTTTGATTGTAAAGTTGTCAGCCTGAACTAAAGCAATGGTGTATCGCATTAGGAAACCTGATCTAACAGTTAAAATAGAAAGTGTTTGCTGGCCTGTCTTAATTCAGTTAGGCTGAATTTACTTTTCTGCTCTATCATTCAAATTTATCAAGCCACCTATATTACTACAGTGATGATTTCATTATGTTTTTTCTGTTTAGTACTTACTTTCTTCCAGAAGTAGACAGACAGGCTTGTTTTTGAGAACTGAGATACCTGAAGACAGTTCTTGAGGGGTGGTAGAGCCCTTCTAGGAGATATTCAAGGTGGGATGTATCCTACCCAAATTTAGCAGTGTCCATTAAGTGTCCAGTCCGATACTGTCCTTGCTCCTGCTCTAGTCAGGGGGAAAAAAAGGCCCCCTTCTCTTAAACATGTATCTCAGGATAGGCTGTACCAGTATCTGGACAAGTCCATCTCTTCCCAGTGAGTAATTGCTTTCAATTACACATCTCACTATTAAATGGCTAAAACTAGGAGGAATAAGCTAGCTCTTAATGGCTGTGGTCCACGTTGCCCTGCGAATAAACAGGGATGATAACACCAACAGCCTTTCCCATGTATTTGAGTTTGTACGGTGCCTGGCAGCTGGCAGCTGTAATCACCTCTGTCGTAGGTGCGCTCCTTGAAGTCATCTCTGTGCTCTTCCACAGTTCAGTCCCCTGAGAACAACAAACTATCACCCATCTTTTTCCCTCCTGACAGCCACTCGAGCAGTGATGCCAGGGAAGCTGCTGCAGTTACCAGCCAGTACATTTGTCCCATCTCCAAGCAGCTGGTTGCAGAGATGAAGGAAGATGAGGACAGTTTTGACTAGAGGTGAAGCAAAAGCCAGTACTCTGTCAAAAACAGCCAAGGAGATGGCTTTGCATGTACATAGCCTTGAAAATAAACAAGGAAGCTATTGAATTTTGCTTAGGGGACGCTCTTGAGATCAGGAAATAAAAAATATTAAATTCCAGAAAGCAGCCAAAAAACAATGCAACCACTTGGGTAAGGAAGAGAAAAATATATGTTAGTGTGAATTGGTGTCGGTAGGTGGAGCCTGAATGAAGCATATCACTTCCACCGCATGTTAGCATCTGGCTGCCTGCTTCTGAAGACTAATAAAGATTTGTTAGCTACGCCTGTGCTTTGGCTCATCTTTGGGGAACAGTAATGAGGGTGGTACCAAGATTGCTAGATATTGGACAATTAGGAATGCCAGGTGGCGGGGGAGAAGTACTTTGCCATGCTTTCCCCACCGATATACGGAGGATATTGGGGCTGCCCAAGGCTCTGGCCACATCTTTGGTGGCTGTGACTCAGCAATGCCTCACTGGTGTCAGCAGGGTGGGTTTTGGGTTTGTGTCTGCTGAGATCCTGTCCAGTTGTCCAGCTCTGTCGCTGGGAAACGGAAAGGGAAGCAGTACCCAGACGTGCCCACTATTCATGTTTATCTGTGCTGGGGTAAAAAACAGGGACACACCTGTACAAAAAAAGTCAGCACCGGTGCTTTCATTTAGCAGAAACGCAGCCAGGCACTCAGCTTTACCACAAGGAAATACAAGGGCTACACAATATAGAGACACAATGCATATATTGTTTCTGCTCCTTTCTGCCCTCGTATTTATTGGCCCCGCCTTCTCATAGCCATTGAAGACAAAGCACCACTGAAAGGAGTTCACTCCCACCATTAAAGAGTTTTTTACACTATCTCTTTGGCCCACTGCCTGACAGATTCCCTCCTCTGACAGAGCAAGGACTCCACCTTCCCTGTAAAAGCAATGGATTTTGAAGGCTGGCTCTAAACAAAAGGTACCTTCAGTTGTGATCACGTGTCCCAACAAAGAAACTGCTCAGTCCATTCTGCATCACCAGTTTTTCACCATGTATGATGTACCCTACATCTACAAAGCAATTAATCCCTCCCAGATGTTCATCTTAGTACCCACTCCCTTTACTGTGATGCTGAAATGCTATTCCCACATCTTGTGGGCCTCAGTATTTGTTTATTTTGGCCTATAGAAAATCTCCGCTAGGAAAGAAACCTGTGGAAGGATGTATGGAGGGAGTCTGGACGGTCTGTATTTTACTAAGCCACTAATGGCCATCTGGCTAAAATGCAGTATCTAAGATCTTTTCCAGAGCAACTAGGATTTTAAAAGGGGCAATGAGAATGGCTGTTACTTTCCTCTTCCTATACAAGGGGCAGGTTCAAAACAACAGTATCTCTCTGCACAGCAAGTGGCCAAATGCCTTGCTGCATGATACTTGTCTTGGAAAAACTTATAGAGGCTCAGAAAAAGACAGGACAAGATGATGGAATAACATGCTATTGACGGTTCAGGAAGCTGCTGAGGTGCAAGTAGCTGCAGCCTGGATGGGGATTTAAGGGAGCCTCCCTACAAAGAGCTACCAGCTGAAGGGGACCTGCCTCATCCCTATGGACTCGCTGGGTGATCACCGGGCTGTGGCTGACCTTGGCCACCATCTCCGGATCTGCTCTACTCACCTTGTCCGGTTACTGTTGAGTAGCTGAAAATAACGAGATTATCTCAGAAACAATAACTGATTAACTCAGCCCCAGTGAGTTACAAAAGATCTAGCTCCTTCCTTTGCCATCCAAAGGAAAGAGCAGCCAAGATGGCTTGGTCTTCACTGAAACCTTTGCCATTTTCAGCAATAAGAATAAGATATTTGAGGGCTGTCTTTTAATTTGAAAAATGATGTCCTTTTCAGGTCAGCAGATGTTTTCTGCACACTTTCATCATTTGGAGGGCCCCTGCTCTCCTTTCAGTGGGACATGCCCCTACACCTTTCAGACAACCCCTACATCTCATCCTCCCAAATCATTTTTAAGATGGGACTGTGACGTGCTTCCACTTCCCCCCCTTTTTGCCCTGGCAGTAGATACTCCTGCTACTGGCTATGTGCAGTGCCCAGCACACAACGGATTAAACCCCAGGGCCGCCTTCCTCTCAGATCCTCCCCCAGAAAATGGCAACTTTTAGGTGTGAGGAAAGCCCTTCCTCCAGCAAAGCCTGCAGCGCACACCTTTCTCCATATGTGTCACAGGAGGGAGCGCCGACAGCGCCAGCTGAGAGCAGGAGTGAGATAACAGGGACAGAAAAAGCCTTGCAGATATTCCAGAGTGCGGCGCAAAGTCACATTCTTCTGCCAAAAGGCTTGTCATGTGTGAATGAGTCTCCACCTAGCAAAGGGAAGGGAGGCAATCATATGCATCTTTGTCACCAGCTGGCAACAAGGTGTCCCTTCTCCTTGCCACTACCCATTTACCCAGGGACGGGCTGGCCACGCTCCATGCAGCGAAATTAAACAGAGAAAGGGTGGTTCTGTTCCTTCATTTGCAGATAGGGAAACTGAGGCACAAATGTTAAGCAATTTAACGAAAGTCTCACCTGGAAGCTTGGCGCTTTCTGCACAGCTTATCCTTATTTTCCAACCCTTCTTTTTCACCATAAAACCAGAATCTCTGAGCAAGTGACGGGACCCAACTGAGCATTTATTCACCTAAAGCAGCCCCAGCTTTTTGTCCTCTCCCACCAATAGCCCCTCTAATGAGATTCATTCTGCACTGGAAAACACTAAAACAGAAATAGAAACGGGAGCTCTGACCACCCCCCCAGCTCCTGCTCTGCTTGTCCAGAGAAACAAGAGGTCATGGGCTGGAGAACAAAACCTGTTATAAAGGGGAACGAGAGCCATGCAGGCAAAGCCTGGGTAAGATAAGTAAGGCAATGAGGAGGAGGCATATTGGCGTCATTATTACATGTTTCAGGAAATGATCTCACCAACACAGACCGTATTCTTGGTGTATTAGAAACAAAAATTTGACCACTTTTCCCTGGTGAGAGAGGCTGGAATACACAGGCAGTTTCCCGAGTGTTAGCCCTCACCCTCCTTTGTGCTCATCTCAGGGACTTGGCTCTGAGCTCTGAAATGCTCCAAATATTTCCTCAACTCGAGAAAGAGTTAAAGATCAGAAAGACCCAGAAGTAAAATAGAAAATGCAACTTACTCCTTATCACACTCTGTGACCACTAAACATCTTTAGATACGTCATCCAATCAGGTAAGGAGGCAAAGGTTGAGCTGCAGCAATCTGCTCAGAAGAGCCAATGTTGTTTGCCTCCCTGAAGCAGTGAATGCACAACAAGGCACTGGGAGCAACAGGGAGACAAGAGAATCAGCTTAGTCAGAAATAGGGCTTTCTTCAACCACCCGCAACTCACCATGGCCTTTTCTCACCGGTTCCTCACCTCTATGCTCTTTCTGCTGCCTTCCACAATACATGTTTTGGCCCAGCAAGAAGGTAAGTTGTTGCAGGAGGCCCACAGCCACAGAGGAATAACCCTTACAGCAGAAGACTGCACTTTTAAAACTGGTGGATGGCTTTTTCGCACCCTTCCTCCAAGCCAGCTTCGTTCAAGGACCTTATCTCCAGTGGTAGCTAGAGGGGTCTCAGGTGTGACCCAACTCTGTCATGGCATGAATCTCTGGGCAATTTTGTATCTCGTTTGCATGTTTTTCCAGCATGTTCTGTGGATAACCAGAAACCAAGCGTCAATGAAAATAACCCTCCTGGCTACGTAGTGACCACCATCACTTTGGAACAAGGCTTCACTGTAAGGATTGATCCTTCCTCCCCTGATGCCAGTTATTTCACCATACAGGGGTCCCAGCTGCAGCTGACCAAAAGTGTGGACTTCGAGGTAAGCTTTTAGCTGACAAGCTGTAAGAGTGAGGTGGAGAATGCTGGGGTGCAGCAGCTTTCACCCCGGGGTTTTGGACTTCCAGGGATTCATGGCCCATTTCTAAAGGACATAAGAAATAACTTTGAAAAATAAGCCTACTGCAGTGGAGTTCAAGTTTGCTGCTGAGGAGATTAGCCCTTCCAGGCAAGGAAGATCAGGAGGAGGGGGATTCATGGTATGCATGCTGTCCCCTTCCTTCCATGACTCTGTATGAATTTGAGCAAGGGGAAAGCTTTAAAGCAAAATTGCGACAACTGCAGAGCTCTCCAGAACTCAGGTGAAATGGTCCCTCTTTGCCTGTACAAAACACAGCCCTGAGCAGTGAGGTGATCTTATGTGGATTGTAAAGGCAGTATAAAAGGTTAGTGTGTTTAGCTAGGTTGCTGCTATATTATTTTACCTTCCTGGAGAGCACTGTACGCAGTGAAGAAAGTCCTTAAGCTGTCTTTCTCCTAATGCAAAAACCTACATCGGAATGAAGAATGGCAAACATAAGCCCTGCAGGCAGCACCATACTTGCTGCATGGCTCGTTTCTGTTTTATTCAATTTAAAAAGGAATCTCTATTCGAACTTGCCTAAACTGGGAGGAAACGGCTGATGAGCTCTGCCGCCATGTCACAGGAATCACAGGGAGCGAAGTCAGGGAGTCACTCCTCGTTGACTCCAGCAGAAACGAGATCCCAACGCTGCTGTGAGGCTGTAAAGCAAAGAAAGAAAGAGAGATGCCTGAAAACAAGTCAGAGCCCCGGCAGCAGTTCTGATTCAGCAATGCGTTTATTTGCCTCATTTACCATAGAAAGTGTCTGTATATTTTGGCCTATTTCTAAAATGGCTGTTTTTTTGTTTTTGCATACAGAAAGATACCTTGCTGTTAGTCTACCTGCTTTGCTCCGACGCTGCTGGGCAGGTGAGTGCTCTTCTAAATGCTCAGCCCTATTAAAAGGTACTGCAGAAGAGCACGTACCTCCTTCCACTCTTCCTCATCCACTGCATGGTGTGAGGAGTTGTCCCTTCTTTGCAAGCATATAAACTCCTCTCACAGTTAAAGTGAGAGCCGCTGAGGGGCTGTGATTGGTGAGGCGGTGGGAGCAAACCCACTAAGTATTACCCACCTCACGGCAGGCCGGCTGTGAACCCAGCCTCCGTTCAGCCCCCTTCCAGCTGTGCTCCTCACACCATCCTCTCCTTTCACATCTGCAAGTCGGGAGCAGCCCTTAAGGGTCCTATTTGGTGTCAGTGATCTTCTCCCTTTACCCTTTCCTCAGAGCAATTCTTTGGAAATTATTGTGACCATCGTCAACATGAACGATAACAGCCCAGTTTTCAAGCAAACGAATCTCACCCAAATAGTTCCCGAGGTAAGCACTTTATGGAAACGAAGAGGGCACTGGGTTACCCATTGCTGTGGGACTAGGGAGGAATTACCGGGGGAAGCCTTCAGCCTGGTTCACAGAGAGACAACCATGGCAACTTTTGTTTCAGGACACAAAAGTGAATACCACAGTTATACCCCGCGAAGATCTAAGTGCTACTGATGCTGACCTGGACACCATTTATTATGAACTTACAACAAGGATGCCTGTGAGTACCTTTGTTCTTTGGGAAAAAGGAGGTAGCTCTGAGGAAGACTGTGTGTTTAATTCAGATAAGCCCCAAAATGAGGCTGAGGTCACTGCATTGCATTTAGTTTACTGATAGCTTCTGGAAGAAGTATGACTTTTCCACAAAGGTAAAGCAAAAATCAAGCATTCATCTAGCTAGAAGAAGAGAGCAATCGATATTGCAAGTATTGAATTCTTCCATTGCTCACACTTTTATTACACTGTACAGGGATATTTAAAGTCACATGCTTCAGGAAAGTCCTGTTGGGAGGGTCTGTAAGCGTATCAGGAGAGACCTTTGCACCCTGTGGAGTTCAGAATTGCTCTGAATTGGGTAGGGGAAGAAGGGATTATTCTCCTGTTTGCCAGCAGTATCTGGGCAGAGCAGAGATAACATGATTTGCCCAAGATCACACAAAAAGTCTTTGACAAAGCCAGGAACAGATCCCACTTTTGCCAGGTCCCAGTTTAGTGCCTTAGGGATTTGCTTGATAAAGGGGGAAATGAATTGTGTGCATGGTTAAACTCATGCCAGCCTAGCCTGCAAATCTATAAGACCCTGCTAGGAATTAAAAAAGAAAAAAAAAAAAAGGAGAGAGAGAGAAAGAGAGAAAGAGAGAAGGAAAGAGAGAAAGAAACTCAAGTGAAAAAACAACCATATCTTTACATTTTTAAAGAGCACCATGCAGTGAGCAGGCAGTGTCTGACATTCCGCCTCCGTTACACTTGTGTAACCCCAGGAATTTTACAGGATGTGAACAGCAACTGCCAGGTTTTCAACTTTAGCCTTGAAACCAGGCTTTGTACTCACACTGGTGAAAATCCAGAGGAACACTAGTCAAGACGTAAGAGTAATAGAGAACCAAAGCAAGTGCAGAAGGTTGTAAGGACCAAAATACAACCAATGCTGTTCCCAGTTTGGCCTTACAGTTGTTTCCAAAGTTCAACTGTGCTAGGCTAAAGCAAGTGATCTTGCCAGCTTTCAGAGACTGAGGAATCTTCATCATTTTTTGTTCATGGATGTGAGATTACTTGGCTGTCACGGACCCAGTACCAAGAATTGTTGGCAACCTGTTGAGTGTAGTGAAGACATGAGGTAGAAGATTTCCTCCGGTACCTGCTGAGCAGGTAGGCAGGCAAAGCAGGGGATCTTGGAGAACAAAACTCATGGGGACATGAATGAGCCTTTCTGACAAGCCAGGCAACTCCGGTGTATGATACCAAAAGATTAAATAGCTTTCACATTCCTATCCCCCCCACCCCACAATTCCCCAGGCTCGAAGGTCTGATTGGGATGACAAACTCAGCAATGGACAGTATTTCAGAGCATGTGTCTGTGATCAAGTCTGCTAGTACGGCTTTTCTGTTTTTTTTTTTCCCTAGGACACAGATGGTTATTTTGCCATAAAAGGAGTTAATAACCCAGAAATTTATTTGCGAAAAGCATTGGACTATGACAAAATCAAATTCACAACTCTGCTCTTGTATGCAAGGGTAAGTTATTTAGGAGGAACAAAATGCCTTGTTTGCCATAGCCACTCTTAACCTGAGGGTAAGTCCAAGGGGTAGATCACTGGGATGGCAGGAGAGAGGGTGGATGCTGGGGGCAGTGAAGTGGGAGCAACCTTCCCCCCTGGTTAATCACACAGTGGCTGCACCTAGCCTTGTACTTCATCCACTTCTGTCAGCAGAGAGTGAGATAATTCACTGCTTCAGCTAATCTCACAAAAACTGCTAAGCCTTAGAGAGAATTGAGATACTGACCTGGGCCACTGGCTTTTTGCAGATGGGTTGCACTTTTGGCAATAAAACTTGTCTCTAATGAGTACTTTTTGCTTTCGGGTACAGGACAGGCCAGTGAACAGCACCAATACCACCCACACTGCTACTGCAACAATAAGCATATTTATTGAACAAGCTGACACCAAACCACCTTGGTTCCTACCCTGTACCTTCACCAACATGGACAATAACGTTTGCATCAGCAGCCCCTACACTGGCAGGGTTAACATCTCTGAGAAGTCGGTAAGCAGGAGTGATCGAACAGTATCTCTGACGCTGTCCTTTTCCTGGTGAGCAGCACCTACTAATTTCTGTGAGCTAGTACTGGTCTCCAGGCATAAATGCAGATGACTCACAATGATGGTAAGCCTTCATCACCCTAGCAAATGGAGGTTCCTCCCCAGGGCAGTACTGTTTGTCCTTGATCCTGCAGCATGCCGTGGAGAACAGAGCTGGAAAAATCCTCATGCAAGACTCATTTACTTCTGCTCTGTTATCTCCAGCTCCCTGCAATAAAAACCATTTTGCCCAGATAAAACCACCAGAGCCTCGCTGAGATGGGAGAGTGCTGCTAGCATTTGATGCTCTAATGGTTTTTCTTGCTATTGCAGACTGCACCACTCACCCTGGCGCCTGGGCCCATCTATGCTATCGATCCTGACTACACTTTAAATGAAAAAATAGTGTACAGCATTGTTGGTGGTGAGTAGAAGTGGTCACCTTCCCCAGACTGCATTGCTTAGATGTCCCCTACATTACCTACTAAGAGGAGATACTCTCAGCAGCAGTAGAGTCAAGGGGTAGGAGATTTGCCCCTCTGTTTGTGTCACAGATAAGCAATTAGATCCACAGAAAATTACTGATTAATTAGAAGAGACCAACTTCTAATGAAGGAAGAAAAAGAGAATTATATTCCCAGAGGCTGAGGACCATGACTATGTTTCAAAGGGACCTTATTCTTTTTTGGGTGAGATGTTTTATCTTTAAGCTTTAAATCTGCTTTTGCCAGACTGCCACTTTCATTCAGCCTTTGAGCTGAGCCAAGAATTCCCCACATCATTAGCATAATTTTCATTCATTGCCATGAATTATGTTCTTATTCCTCTGCACAGTACCACTGTCTGATCTACCCTGTTTTAGTCTTGATTTCAAAAAGATCACCTGAATATAATCAACTGATTGCCAAGTCATTGACTGGGCCATTTATTTCATTCAAAGCATTTCTTCTCTTTTTTTTTTTAACAACAGTGGACTTTTTGATTAACTGTCAAGGCAAAGACAGATCATAGCAGATGGAGAGAGTGATCACTTTTTCATCTTCTTTTACTTCTTCCATATAGCACCACACCTGTGCCAATAAAGGCATCAAAGAGCCTAAAAATCCACCACCATTTTGGACCTAGTGTGTTCTCATCCCCCACAGTCACTAGAGATTCCCTGACTGAGGGTCCTGGTCTAAATACAGGCTGTAGCATCTCAGAGTAAGGAATATGGGCACATATTTCAATATATATTCAACATGGGAAAAATGTTTTTATGATTCAAATACAGGTGGGTGATGTAGAAGGCTGATTTCTACCCCTATATCCACACAAGAAGGTTTTTGTATCTAAGCGCCTTTTGTAGCCAGTGGAGAGAAATAAGCATTTCCAGGGCTAAATTCAGCTCATCTTGAGGCCAGTATCAACAATAAACCAGATAAATCATGTGCTAAAATTCCGTCTTCTCTTTGCTGACTATAAAGAGAGTCCAAGTAGCCAGCTCAGGTAGAGCTGTCTGACCTTTAGATGTCTACAGCATGTTAGATGAATCCCCACCTGATATTTCTATGTAGCTTGGTTTCCCATCTTTAAAATAGGCATAAGCCTTCCCTTGCATCTCCTGAAGGTTTGGGTTGGCATTAATCTTAGGGAACTGGAGACCTTCAGTCCTCAAATTATACCAGATTCCTGCTCAGCCCAGAGGTTGAGGATGAAGGCATGGAGCCAAGGCTTTATATGCTGTGAAATCTTTGCTGTCCAGTCTTTGAGGTGGGGTCTGGCACTTCTGTGATGGGCAAAGAACTAGGAGAAGTCTAGTATTGTGGGGCTCTGGGGTCCAGTGGAGACCTAGGTGGCTAGAGCCCCAGCTGCGTACCTGGACCTAGTGTTTATTACTGGATGTCTCTAGGCCTTCAGCAGAATTTGAGCTGGCTGTATCTGGGTCTAGGCACTGAAAATGCAAAACTTTGCTCTCCTGCCTCATGTAGTCAGGTTTACGTGTCTTCTCACCGCTTTCCATCTGCTGAGTCCCCCTGAAACCACGGCCAGTACATCCAGCTCTTGAAGCAGCCAGTCAGGCAAGGACAACAACATCATGCTCTGGTGGTGTTGTCATCATTTCCAAGATGTGAAACAAGTGAGTCACAGGAGCTCCAGGTCACTTTATCAAGATATTTAATGATTAAATAGTCTTTCTGTTTTCTTTAGGGGATACGGATAAAGTGTTCTCAGTGGATGCAGATACAGGGAATCTAACTATGAACAAAGCAGTAACTTCCCCAGATCCATTCCTATTGCAAGTCATGGTAAGTCTGATGACAGTGCATATGACAGGCCTGCAGAGCTGGCTTTCTAGGAAGCAGCAGTCTTGATGTGACAGGAGTCAATTACATTAATAATTAAGACTAACTTGGCTGCACCTTTTCTTTGGGAAGGATGCAGTATTTGAACAGTGTCTTATGCCAATTTACATGCAAAGCTCCAGCAGGCGTCAAGAGTCATTTTCACTTATGTGTGGGCTGCACCATTAAATCAGTTGAACCCTTGAGGGACATCCTGCTGGGTTGAAAGTATTAGGAAGCATAACTGTAGGCATGGCTGGAGCTTTGCTTTCAGCTCAAGCTCAGGAGGAAAGGAGTTGAAAAGCACTCCTTGCACATACACACCCAGCGGCATCTGAACTCTTAGGCTGCAACTGAGCTGACAAAAAACCCCATGAAGATGATCAGACTCTGTCTGTTGGTGTCCTGCTGGTGTCCTGCTGCTTTACACTTGAGCGTGGCAATTTGTTCAGAAGTGGTACTTATGGAGAACCAAATCGTGTGGAAAGTCAACAGCAGAAATAGGACTAAAACAAAAGAACTCCGAACCACTAGGCCTCCTGTGGCAGGCCTGACCCAAAGCTCATTGAAATCCATGGGAAGAACCATATTGGTTGCAATGGGCTTTGAATCAAGCCTAACCTTTTAAGTCTCATCACTTACAGGAAAACGGGTAGCATCTCTATCTCTCCCTCTCTTTTTTTCTGCAGGCCTCCCAAGTCAACAACGTACAGAAATACTCCGTAGTTAGTGTAGAGATTAAGGTCATCAATAAAAGTGACTCTGCACCATACTTCAAGAACAAGATCTACAAAGGGACAGTATCCGTTGGTCTTGCCCCAGGAAGCTTTGTCCTAGAGGCTGACGTTCCTTCCAAACCCCTGATGATAACAGCAGCTGATGATGATTTCACTGATGTAAGGAAATGAAAATGTCCTGAATCCTTTCTCACTACTTCAAAGTTAAAGCAGGCTCAGCAAACATGAGAAATGGGAGGAGGGGGCAGGCAGACACAGGCTTCCCTCTCATGTCCCTTCTTATGTTCCCCCGGGATTATAACATAGTGTAATGGCATGGGGTAATCTGCAGACAGTGCTTGACTCCTCTCTTACAGGAGCCTGTCCCACCCACATCCATGTAGGTGAGCAGATCCACTGCAAAATAGCATGCTGAGTACACCCAGGGTTAGCAAATACTGTGAACCAGACCAGACCTGAGTTAGGGCCGGGTAAGGCGGCCCTGAGAAGAGTTCATGGATGCAGGGTCCTAGGCAGAGGTATCCTCTCTCTGCCAGGTCTCTGCGAGGAGAGGTATTTGTGAACTAACATAGGAAGAGGAGCAAGTCCACAAACAACAGACTAGCAAGGGCCTGCAGTCTGGGCTGAAAATTTTTGGCCTTCCTGTAAGGACTCATTTTGAGAGCAACGTTATTGTACAAAATACTGGGAGGAGGAAAACGGAAGAGATTTACTGATCAGCCATGTGGCTTTCTTTTTTTCTTTTTTTCTTTTTTATACTTCATAAAGAAAAGTGATCCCCAGTTTTACTGATGGCAGGGCTTCTGCAGCAAGATTGGGGACCTAGTAGGGGAACAGCAGTATAAAAACAAAGTGAAAAATTGTGCAGCCCTCAGAATAACGATTATTCTCCATGTACATCCCACTTTGGCACTGTATTGAAGGCAAACTTGATGAAATTTGCCTGATCCCTTGCATAGATGTATTTTGCTAGGGCAACCATTAAAGAACCAAGGCAAGCTGGATAAGACTTCAGATTTCTTTGAAGGCAAAACTTTTAGAATACATTCTTGAACACCAAGCAACAGGATGAACACACCTGAGTTCAGCCTTTCCTGCCTCCCCAGTCCAGATCTATTGCATTATGCACCTGCATATACTTCAGGCATATTTTACAATCCCAGGCAACAGGCTATTACAAAGATGCATGCAAAGCACAGTCGGTGTGGTTTACTCATTCACTCATCTGGCTTTTCAGAAAGTCAACCCAAACATTGAATATCACATAAGAAACAGCACTGATTTCATCGCAACCAAAGATGGACTCATCCTGACAAACGTGATGCTAGAGTCACCAGGGACTGTAACCATGGAGGTAGGGGAACTTTCTTCATAACCTTGCCGGAGTGGTAGAAGGAAGGTGGAGTGTCTAATAGAGAAGCACCAAGGCTGGAATTGCATTAGCTAAGGGACATAATGAAGAGATAGTCTTTGCCCCAACCATTTGCATCATAAATGTATACGGCTGGAGGGCAATGAAGTGATAGTAAAATTATCCTGTATGATAGGCTATTGTTTGGTGCTAGCTATAAAATTGTTTGTCCTCTCCTCTTGTAGAAAATATCATTGGAGGTAAGCAAAAGATCATTTGGGGAGATTTTAGGAGCCTCTCTTCCCACATTTAATAAGAAAAAAAATCCAGAAAATAATCTATAAAATCTAATTTATATGCCCAAATTTCCACCTAAAAAGAGAAATGTGTTGGAGAGTTTATTCCCCCACTCACCTTGTCTAAGAGACATTGCAAATTTTATAGGTACAGAGCAGGGGCAGCTCAGGATTTTTTTTTGGGGGGTGGGGGGCCGGGAGAGGGCTCTGCTCTGTTTGAGGTGACAGAAATTCTAAACTGACTGTCTCAAATGGACCTGTGCCAAATTCAACAGTAGGTGCCTTGTCCTTGGTTTCATGTTTCTGGGAATAGCTGTATTCAGCAGCTCAGTGCTCCTTTGTAAGAGGTGCCCAACAGCAAGCTCTAGTAAATGCACACAGATGGATGCACCTGGTTCTGGCCCAGGAGGGATCTCCAGAGAGCTGTTCTCCCTCCTCTGTGACCAGATATAGGCAAGGATATAGACGAGGCAGTGTATCCCCAAAGGCCCATCACATCCCTTGAGAGAGAGCTGGAGATCTAGGAAGTCTCTAAGTTATCTCATTCCCATGTTCACACAGGCTCTTGGAAAAGATACGGTGAGCCTGCAGGAGGTGAGCACTGTGATTGAGGTGGAGGTCGTCCCTGCCACAGGTAGGCTGGGAGTCTCTTTGTTCTCTCCTTGCAGAGGTGGCTGGGGAGTCTTTTCCACTTCTGTGGGCAAGCTGGCAATGACAGGCCCCCCCATGGCAGACTGTGGGCCTGGCATGAGGACAGCACCATGCCTACAGGAGGTCCTAGGGTGACTATGACAGACCAAGCACTCAAAGGACATCCTTATGATGTGGTCACCACATGCCTCAAACAGCCTCCCCAGACTTTAAATACTGCATTGTAGCGTCTTCCCTTTTTAATTCGTATTCAAATCTGGGCTTACTTAAAGTTGTGTTCTGTGGGCCAAAACTGTCTTATCATGGCAAAGAAGGATTATCATAATATTTGGAGGGTTGCTGTAGTATTTGGTGCTAAGGAGTGTGCACGCAATGGGTTGGAGGGCACTTTATTAAGTGTCTTAATATCCGAGGAGAAATTAGAGTCCTTTTAAAAATACTCATCTCCCGTGAAACAATAACTGTACGTTGGCCTCTGGCTTCTGGGACATCGGTGCCAGAGCCAGTCCAATTTGATCTCAACATGAGTTTCCCCCAGGTTGAGCTAGCTTTAATGGAGGCACCGTGTACTGCACAGGACAGGAGGAGTTAAGGGTGGTGGAGTTTCACATCAGTGCAGTGGGCTGTGGCTCCTTCTGAGACATGATTAAGAAGTAAAACTTCAGTGACTGTCCAAACTCTCACCGACATATTAATGATAAACCAAGGGAGCAGTCAAATGAGGAGAAAATACTCAAAGTCCATTGTTATAAATAGGTCAGCAGAAGAACAAAAACATGTTTCATTGATCATTACACTTTCAAGAGATGAATTAACAGTACAAAATGAAGCTGGAAAACTTATAAATAAAGAATGCCACTGACAACAGCACACAAAGCTGATTGATTGACCCTGAGGAAGTTAGTTACTGCCTCTCAGCTATAGCGTTGATCTCCATAAAGATGTTTTTGTACTGACCAACTGCAGAAAGCATAACCTGCTCTTTAAGGAAGCTGGTATATACTATCACAGCTATAAAAAGGGCAGGAAAGGGTTCTTCTTGTCCTGTGGACCTTCTAATGCTTTTCACTTCTGCAGAAGAAGCCAAGAGATTTCTTTGTTGGGTTGCCTGGAGATGAAGGACCGTCAATTTCATTGAGATCAGACGGTGCTGAGTGTCTCCTGGCTCCTGCCTGGGTGCTGCCCTTCTCCTACAGCCAGGGAGGGCCAGCTGCTGCCAGTCCATCAGTCGCTCCTGTTGGAGCCGTTCCACTTACTCTGTAGCAATAAATACAGCTCCTGGGTAGCTCTGCGATGCCTTGCCCCCTCCTGGGAAGGAAAGGCACTTTCCCATGTCCCAAAAGGGCCTGACAGTTCTAGTTAGGGTACAAGAATCAGTTTCTAGAGAGCAATTACAAAGATAAAGTCCACAAAAAACCTTCTGATGAGCATCATCATGACGTAACCCTTTTCTTTTGCAATTCACAGCTGTTTCACCCTAAGGATCACTGCTATTATCTTTATATGCCTCTTTAAATGCCACTGCTATATCTATTATATGCCTTTATCATCATAACAGAGTTATATTACAGCACTCTCATCTACGAATACATAAGGAAGTCAGACCTGCCTTGGCTGTTCATATTGATGCCAGTGTCA